CAGATGGCAAAAGAGAAAATAAAAAGTTATACAGAGTGGTCCCGATGCACTCCACTTGTCCTGACTAACGCATGAGAATTTCCCATGGACCCCTACACGGCTGCAGGAGTCGTTGCGTAGTGATCACAAAAGGAAAGGATCCCATTCGAACTAGATAATCCCATAAACAAGAACGATCAGTTAAATTAAGAAAGTAATGTCAGGAAACACTACAACGATAGGTGAAAGAGTGGAATGTGGTCTTTTATATCTGCAGTCCAAAATGACCTAGCTTCAATGGCAAACTAGTGTGTCGGATCTTACATGAAATTTTTAACATCTAAATGCAGGATTATGTGCTGTGGATGCTTGGTTCCACCAGAATGTTGCGTTTGCACGGAATTCCACTCCATTAATGCAAATCAATACGTGACTTAGGTCTCCGTTACTCATGTTTGTTGAATTTCAAAGAACAAGTTGAGTATACGGTAGCCAAAACATGACAGATTATGAAAATGATAGGCCGTCTGTTTATAACAAGCGATGTTAAGCTCCTGTCCTTCAAACTGTACGCCAGACCAGTATTAGAATACTGTGCCACCACTTTTAGTAGCATTAGAAGATGCGACACGAGTGCAATCGAAGCTACACAAAGGTCGATTACCAAAAGAATCGTGGGCTGCACCTCTAAGCTCACTTATAAAGACAGATGTCATTTGTTAAAAATCGAAGCGCTATGGCTTCGAAGATTAAGACTGAATTTATGTCTATTATTCAAAATTGTCCATCGACTGACATATGCTAGTTACTATCAGCCGGTGTTCCAAGAATCTTCACCGTATGACCTAAGAAATAAAGACTATGTGATAAAAATACCTCGTTGCCGCACACGTTTGAGGTACAACAGCTTTACACACAAATATCCCACGTTATGGAATAGACTGCCTCAGACCATCAGAAATACATCTTCGCTTCGAACACTTAAGATGCAACTAAAAGAGTACTTAACTGTTAATAAGTTAAAGAACTGTTTCGTGTCAGTTGCACAGACGAATGGGTGTACGAGAAGGGGCCTGATAACATCTAAGTACTTGCGGAATTCGCAATATAAAAGTATAGATAAATATGGCGAGAAGGGCTTGCCGACACAACGTGAAATACAGTGTTCCCTTATCATGAATTTTTCTTGCTAGATAACTTAGATTTGTCTCGCATTCCTTCCTCCTACTTTGTCACATCCTTCGGTATTACTCAAATTGATGACCCACCGGTGGCCTATGAAAACATTGGTACATCGATAGGTTGGATAAATGAGATCTATCTCTGATTTTCTCTTAGTCTATACTGTTATATTCTTCGTGTTACTCAGATTGATGGCCCGTTGGTGACCTATGAAAACATGGGCACATCGATGAGTTGGATAGATGGGATTTATCTTGATTTTTCTTCATCTACACTGCTTCTTACTGTGCTCTTACTTAGCTTGAAGACCCACTGATGGCATTTGAAAAACATGCGCACATTGGTGGGTTGGATAAGCAAGCTTTTTCCTTAGCCTTCATATAGTGCTTCCTTTCTATTACACAGCTAGGTGAAAAGCATGAGTGCCTGCAAGACATGGACCCATTGAAAGGGTGAATTGTTGATGGCCGCAACTAACCCACCAAATTTATGTACGCAATTCCATTTGCTCTGTGTTATCCTACCTCTTATCTGAGGTAAGTTACTAACTCTAGTTGATTTAAGTTTCATGATGGATGCAGTTCTCAGTTTAACCGTTTGTCGTGATATCATGTCTGCTCACACATTTTCACTATTTATACATTATTGTTATATCCCAATAGTATGAAAGCTAAATTAGATTTTCTATGTACGTATTCTCACTCACTTCTTAAAACGTTGTCATTTTGCTTACTCTTCCCAACCATCTGCCTAAAGGTATTTGAAGGTTTTGCAACTGTCGTGGATTCCGACGCATTTTGAAACGAAATCAAGCGCGCAAGAAGTAATGGAATCGGAACCACAAGTGTTTTGGTACAGCAATTTGGTAAAATCACTCTACACTTCTTTTGTACTTTATGATCGGACCAGTTTAGCTGGACTGTGCCTCATCTAGTTGAGAATATACCAATTGAACAGAATTGCTGACACATGAGAAGAAAGCCGTTAGCAGTACGCCGGAACGCAGTACCGAAGCTTCGCTGTCGCGCAACCACCACAAACTGCACATAAACTGAGGAAACTGCGATGGTCACTCGGTCCCCTACACAGGTTCGCATTCGCGCCCTCGGATTACATTAAGCACGTTAGCTAGAGGTGTAAAACACGTCAGCTAGCGTGCTGACATACAAAAAGGAAAAAAAGAAACAATGCGACAGTTGCATGTCAGTTGAGCTACAGGCAACAGATGGGTATTGTTCCGGAAAGCTACCAAAGGGGGCTACTAGGCAACAAAAAATTACTTTGTAAAATTATATTATGTTACGAAATGAGATGGTGGTTGGAGGGGAGCTAAGAGGGATAGGGATGGATACAGCACGAACGCCACCGAGGTCAGCTCCTAGCCATGTCAGCAAGTGTGTCCAGCCAAAGGCGTTCATGGTCTTTTGGACCCAAACCGCGGCGAGCAAACAACGCACATCGCGGGAGTCTGTAGGCTGGCATGCGTAGCAAGTGGTCCAGCCATCAGAGCCTGGTGCGTGAAATGACGGTACTGAGAGGTTCAGTTCCTTTGTCTGTGTCGTAAACAAGGCGTCGAACACGCTCGTTGTTCACGCGGTGTTCCCAACAGATGTGAGCCAAATCGCGAATGCACCGGTGGTCTAACTATCCTCTTTAGGTCGGCTGATCTAAGGGAACAGGTTTCACAACCGTACAACAGGGTGGAATGTACACGCTACTCCTCATGGCGAGAGTGGTGTCGCGCTGGCGTCATAGGTGGTGAAGGTTAGAAAAAGCGCTGATCCACAAAAAGGGTCAGCTTAGGAGGCGATCATTGCCAATCTTGGAGGAAAGCTTTGAATTTCGATGGTGCAAAGCAAAGTCCGAAGCGACTGACAGCCAGTGTTAATCTGTCCAGCGCAGATTGGCACGTCTAGGAGCTGTCACAGATGAGAGCAATATCGTCTGCATATTCCAAGTCAAGAAACCGTTCTCCCAGGAGTAGCTCCACACCTTCTAAGTTGTGTCCTGTGACTGCAATCTCCATAACTCATCAATAGCGAAGTTGAAGATGAAAGGTGATGGCAGGCATCATTGTCTCACAACGCTGGAGATAGGGAAGGGCAATGATAGCTTGACGTAAGCCTTCACTCGGCCCGTGCTACGCGCGTATAGCGTGCTAATAATATTTACATATTTCTTTGGCATACCTTTCCTGAGTAGGCAGTTCCAAAAGGCATATTGATCAGTCGAAGTCACCCTTTGATGTCGAGGAACACGACAACAGTGGGCCACCAATAGGTGTGACGGTACTCCAAAAATTGACGCAAAGTGAAGATGTGGCCGATGCAGCCACGACCCCGACGAAACCCGACAAGGCAGGCTTAAGACAACGGGCAGGCAGCTGACTCACCTCTCATAATGATCAGCGAGCCGCTGCAGCAGGATGCACGTGGGCAGCGTGAGAGCGATTGATATCAGACCGTCACGCTGATTACTGTAGGACATCTCTCCGGTTGATTTAAGGATGGGAACGAAAGTTGAAAATCCCCGGTCATAAGGCCCCTCTATCTTGCACCACACAGCGTCGAAAAGAGCAAACAAAAGAGTCACCAGAGTCACCATCGACCCTGAGCAACGATGGCAACGAGTGGTCTGAGGTATATGCTTGTTCCGCTTTAGCAGCATTAACTCGCATCAGATCTCGGTGCTGATGGGAGCCGTTTCGTCAATGCCCTAGGTCGGTTCAGGCGACCTGAGTAGTAAGTATGACACAGCAAGCCGGCTGGACTCTCTCTGTAATTTGTGGCGGAGGAAGTAGAATGCATAAGATGAATGTAGAAATGAATTCGACCAAAGTGAAGGACTGTAGTAACCATACTGTATGTTTATTAAGGCGAAAAGCAATGTGCTAAGTAAGATGACACATTAAATTGGAAACTATATGTCCGCTAGTATGACGGAGGCGGCCGGTTTTGAATAGGTCAAGCGCATAAAATGACAGTTGGCATCATTGAACAGCTAGGCAGTAAAAGTTGAAGGACCGGAAGTCCGGAATAAGTACACAAGGATGCAGACCGACAGGATGAGTAGTCATCCCCACAGCAAGCTGAGAAAAGGTGAGAATTCGAGTCGTTTCCATCACTCACCGCGCATTCCAGACACTTCAAAACAAATAATGGCTTCAAATGAGAACGAAGCAGGTCTTAGGGTGTCAGTGTTGGGAAGAGTCACATAAACCTCCGTATCCCTTCCCGTTACTGTCTCTTCTCTTAGTCTTATTTAGCTACCCATGTGTTGTGGCACACTGCCAATTGTTTACTGGTAAAGTGTTATTGAGAGGAGCAACATAGAATCCCTTCCAATTCGGATACAGTCCCGGTGATTAGAATGACCAAGGTCTACGTCAAAGGAAACCGAGGTCTCAATAGAGATCGCGTGTCGCAACCCCAATACACGGCGGGTACTCCAAACTCTTACCTATGAATTTCTGACCGTTGTGCCAAGCGTTGCACTTAGTGGCACGGTTATCAATGCGTCAGCCGTTAACCACTACGCCACGAGTTCCACTCCCAGCTCAGGTTATCTCCATCTGATGAGTCCAAACGATGAAACTGGGCATGGGGTGTCAGTGTTAGGAGCAACAACGCAACATTTCCAATTCAGAGAAAGTAATGGCTTATTGTACACAAGAAAATATGTAACTTATGCTGTAACAAGTCACATGGCGAATCAAAGATATTGTTCTGCGAGGTTGGAAATGGAGCTGGTGAAAATGAAATTGTAGGGATACTGAGGGAGGAAATTCGGCGGTACATACAAAAGTATTTAAGGAAGGCGAAACGATCTGGAAGACTGACCTGGGTGACTGACAAATTTGTTTTGACAGCCAAGTGACGTAGCGATGTGAATGCTCTTCGGTCAAGACCTCTTTTAGGTATGCTGATAACTCTGAGCAGGCGAATGGGATCCTTGATATTTACTGCTAGACCCAAATAAGCCAGCAGAACATCAGTAACGGCGCATTTCTGAAAGAAGTATGGGTGGTAATGCGATCTTACTCTGTAAGGAGCGAGCATCCCTATGTTGCAAAGTCGTAAACGAAAAAGTGGAAGACTCGCATCGTTTCGGAGCAAAAATGTAATGTTCGGGGTTTTAATACGAATAAGCATAACAAGTATGAAGTACTGAAATTCCGAGGTGAACTGAATCCGTAATCAAACCTCGAACCAATCCAGACGCCAAGAAGTAACAATATAGGCCGCATTGTGCACCATCGTCTTGAGCTCCAGATTGGTCTGCCATTCATGTGCGATACGCGAAACCAAGAGTGCGCGATCGACTAGATTAAAGCATTCAAGCTGGGTATCCACTTTGAAGGCCAGAGCAGTTAATTCTGCAGGGGCGCCTAGTGAAGGGCAGATACGGTGACGGCAGACTTCTGCCCAGAAGTCGGGAGAAGGGGAGACCTGGGTCTACAGTAAAATGAGGAAACAAAAAACCTACTGAATCAGAACGCAGAACAAGCTTGAACAAAGTGATTTCATCCCTTGGCAAAAGGAACGTTTCGGTACATGTTCGCTCTAAACCGAAGTATTGGTGGATCCTAAACATGAATCGAAGCAAGGATGTTTTTGATTTGTTCGATTCGGCCGATGACGGGAAACACGACCCCAAGTACACCTCTGAAGATGCCATTTCGGGGATACCAGTTAACATACATGCCTGAAAAAGAAACCGCATTGCTGTGAAAGCATCAGCAGTAATCCAAAAACAGGTGCCGACACTTCGACGCCTCGCAATACCCACCGGTTGCATGCGGGCAGGGATACGGCAAGACCACTTGCACCGATGTAGGTCCGAATAGGGAGTCCGTCGAGTATAACACAAATGTATGAACCCCATCGTCACTAGTCGGGCATACTGTGCTGGTGTGCAGGCCAACGTATGATGGAAGCCAAAGAGGGAACCAAAGCAGCATATCAGTAGAATTTGAGATCACAAGGTAGAAAGTAGACGGTAAATGCAACGGATAAAGTACTGATAGAGATCAACTTGTATAAACGAAAAATACCCTCGGGTGTGGCACATTGAAAATGGCTTGCTACAGACAACTAAGATTAAAGGGAGTAAAGAAAAGTTGGGTGCAAAGAACAAAGACCACCAAGTATGATGCAATATGAGGAGGCGAATGGATAGAAAAAGGGTGGAATGATACAAATTCCACCCAATATGTAGCCGAGTGCGAATGAGCATATGAACAACACGAACCACGACGAAGAAATTCATCCATAGACATGACGACTAGTGTGAAAGAACATTAAGCTATCGTGGCAGTAAAGGAAAGTGTGCCGTGGCCCGTGATAGTCGAAGGTCAGGAAGAACAATACTCTTCCGCTTGTGGTCGAAAATGGGCCGGGAAATAGAGATAAAATTCAACTAATCACAGACAGAGAGGAGGTGGAAGATTACGATGTGCAGCGTCAAAATATATCCGACAATGGAATGTTTCTGCTACAAGACTGACACAGCCCTGCCAAAAACTCGGGTTTCACCGGTAACAGTACACAATGGGGCCCGAACAACACTGTCGCTATGCAGAGGCCTAAACAACTCAGTTCAGAGCGGAGCTCTCCCGTCGGAAACTGCCGCCAAGGGTCCACTCATCCGCGTAGTTCACAACGTTGTCCTCAGTGAGAACACGGCCAACGTAGCGCGCATAGTTTCCACTGATCTCTCTCACGGACTCTCCTCAAGTCAACAGTCTGTCTTCTGAGCTGTGTTCATGCCAATGCCTTAGCCACCGGGCACACACAGAGCATCGAAGGCGCCGATCTCTGCGCGGAGATAGAACCAATAAATGGCAGCCCATGTGCCTTCCCTTATAGTTTTTACAATTACTAGTGTTTTAACATTTATATAAAAACATAAATCTCCAGGTGTTTCGTCGGAGGTAATCTCCGAAATTTCCTAATCGATTGCTTCCAAATTTTGATACGTTGCATTCGATTACTATCAGCTTTATATACATATTTTTGTATAGATATCATGTTTAATTTAATAGTTTAGTATTTTCAATATTCTATAGACGATGATTTATTTGGTATTTTGCACTACCTATGAGTAGATGGATATTTTCAGGCCGTGGATGATAGTCATTAACGAGAAAATGCAGATCAGCGTCAAACAGGACCACGTGCACAGCAATCGCACAATTACAATCGCCTTACATTCCGGTACAACTCAGCTGAGTATTATGGTCTGAGTCAGCATGTTCTCATTGATACCATGAATGATGTGTGTTCGTATTGAAAAACGTTGAAATTTAGTGGACAAACGAAAGGAACGTGTAGTGTTGCAAGAATAAGTAAACTGCTTCAAATCGGAGAATCGGCAGAGCCATTAAAAATGTTGTTCCCCGGAGATACCGCGGAATCAAAACATTTCCTCTCTAACATAAGAAATACAACTCATGCTTCCAAATGACGTCTTTCGGTGCAGAAACCGTAACAGCTCCATTTACGCCCACTTTCAAGGTGAAAGGGCAGATTTATCATAAAGCCGGATCTCTGCTTCCTTCTCCAGATAATGAACATAAATTCTTACACATGTACTTCATCGGTGTTGACAATGATAAATTGAATGCAGGCTATGGAATTTCTACCGTTCATTTGAGAGACGCAGTTGTAAATGACGGCAATGCAGCTGAGGTTGGGCGACTTACAATTTTGCCATCTTCATATACAGGCAGTCCGCGTCATATGCCAGGGTACGCTAAAGATGCAATTGCGTATGCTCCCTCATTACGGGCGTCCCGATCAATTCATTACAATCACATGCAATCCCTTTTGGGACTAGATAAAACAGCTCTTACTTCCTGGACGGTCGCCGGTGGATGCGCATGACATCACAGCACGTGTTTTCAGACAGAAATACGAGGCGTTTGGGTCGGTGCGTTGTTGGATGTACTCAGTGGAATGGTAAAATAAAGAACTGCCACACGCACCTCTACTAATATGACTTAGAAAATCAGAGGACGATCAGCAGAAGGCGGTAACGTAGTCACTATTCAAATGCGAAATGGTGACGTTGAAGTCGATAACAGGTGGGGGTGGTTGCATATTCGCCTTTACTATAAAAAGACGTACAAGGCGCACATAAAGGTGGAATACAGCAACTAAATCAAATACATATGTGAGTACGTAAATAAGGGCAGTAACATGGCAGTTTCTGGCTTGAAACCAGACAGAAATGATATGAATACGAGTATAGATATAAATAAATGTTGCCTGAAATATGTTTCTTTGTAGTGTCACGCTGACGTTAAAGTAAATCCATGCGTGTAAAGCTTCAACACAATCACTAGAGTAAGCAAACCGGACAATCTCCATATCTGCACAAAAGTGAGAATTGTAACTTTTTTCATGTTCATTTAAACGCACTGAGCTACAACAACTCTATTGCAATTTAAAAGATTGCAGTGCCATACTCGTTTGGCGTATGCAATCACAATTAACAAAGGTCAGAGCCAGTCTTCTGAAGTGTGCGGGTTAGATCTGTGCACCGAGTGCTTCTCACATGGACAATACAGTTGCGTGTTCTAGAGTCAGTAAAAATCTGACAATCTCCGTATGTGCACCGACAACGTTACAACACAAAACGTTGTATACCCACAACAGTTGTGAAACAACAAAGATATTTTCCTCCATTTTCACACAACCAGACAATTGTACAACTAACAACATTGCATACCAACAAGTATTTCAAAACTACATCTATTACAAGGGTTAGATTCTTCCTTTCACCCATTATCATTTACCCACACTGATCCACAGCAACGCGTGGCCGGGTACAGCTAATGAACTGTTAATTTGAAGGTGCAGAAAGCACAGTTGCCTTGGTTGAGTTAGTAAACGCACTCTTACTATTGGACAGTCTTATTTCTGCGGGTCTCGGTACAGTTGTGTGGCCTTTACGGGTTCTCTCTGCTATATCAGTTACGAGTTCTCGTCTGCTGGCTAAGTCCACTAGCCGTTCCGATATGAATCGTTTAGGCTACTCTGCGCGTGGGAACCAACGAGTGGTAGAGTTCATGCGTTACGACTAGGAGAGTCGAAACACAACCAAGAGGTTTAGAACAGTTTCGCTTCCTGCAGCGCAAAAAGCAGTACTGATCTAGACTCGAACCAAAGAAATCAAGTGGTTCACACACCAAACGACCAAGATACGCTCTCCGAAATGTTATCCAGCTCAAATGTAAAAAGAAGTGGGTAACTGAACTAAACGATTTGATTTCCGCAGTGTAGACCAATGAAGCCACAATTTACACTAAGTTGTTAATTAAGAACCGAAAAACCAGTTAGATCATTCGGTAATCAATTCACCAGATTACACCGTAAGGTGCCACAGTAGCAGCTGCAAAAAAAGAAAAAACAATGAAAGCGAAATTCCAAGATCATATATGTACAAGTTCTTTCAAGAGGGTTATTGCATAAAAAGTTCCGCAAAGTCAATGTCTGTTTCGTGGGTATTCGGACTTTTTCACTTTTTTATGTTTCGACTTGTGGTGTTTCTTGTGATGGGAGTCTGGAAGAGACGAATGGAAATTACAAGAAGGATGGATAAGATCGCCTAATTTCGCGAACTAGGCAAAGTTGGGTAAAAAAAAACCAAGACTGGCTCATATCCAACGGAAATAAATAAGTGTGAGATCACAAGTTAATCGGTGATAGGCATATATGAAGCAGCTGATAAGGCTTTCATCCCAACAGTTCACAAGCTACATAGCACAGCCTAGTCCGGAAAAGCGCCACACGCGTTTCGCCCTACTGGGGCTCGTCAGTGGCGCGCATTCCCTCGGTCCTCTAAGGAGGATCGAACCCATGACCGCTAGAGGCAGATGCCAACTAGCCAGCAGCTTAAGCCACTGAGCCATGGGGGACGTTGGCTGGGCTACATAATTTGCAAACCAGCTGGGATATAGCACCACCTATCTACCACTGTCACTGACAGTGGTTAGCCTGCAAGGTGATGACGTCCTCTCACTAGACGTTATATCTATGGCATTTGAAACTAGGAGAGGCTTTTGATTTTATTGTACTCATCAGTAGCAGGATTTTAGTTGTAAATCTGGCGCTTTTCCGGACTAGGCTCTGCTAGGTAGCTTGTGAACTGTTGGGATGAAAGCCTTACCAGATTTACAACTAAAATCCTGCTACTAATGAGTACTATAAAATCAAAAGCCTCTCCTAGTTTCAAATGCCATAGATATAGCGTCTAGTGAGAGGACGTCATCACCTTGCAGGCTAACCACTGTCAGTGACAGTGGTAGATAGGTGGTGCTATATCCCAGCTGGTTTGCAAATTATGTAGCCCAGCCAACGTCCCCCATGGCTCAGTGGCTTAAGCTGCTGGCTAGTTGGCATCTGCCTCTAGCGGTCATGGGTTCGATCCTCCTTAGAGGACCGAGGGAATGCGCGCCACTGACGAGCCCCAATGGGGCGAAACGCGTGTGGCGCTTTTCCGGACTAGGCTGTGCTATGTAGCTTGTGAACTGTTGGGATGAAAGCCTCATCAGATTTACAACTAAAATCCTGCTACTAATGAGTACTATATATGAAGCATACTGATCATGCGACACGGCTATTAGGTGGACCGATATCGTGACATACCTAAAGACAGACTATACCCTTGGTATTTAAAGCCAGTTTGTGTCAATGATGCTAATGTGGTTAAACAATAAAGAAATTCTGTGGTTAGACAAGATGGAAGCGAACAAGGGTAAAATACACAAAAGAAAAAAGCAATTGAGTTGTTACACACGTTTAGGAGGTGAGAAGTATGTGACATCTATGTAGACAAAGTCAAAGAACATTAGCAAATTCATACTTACCCTTTGGGTGCAAGTGAGGCTTGAGCTTTCTGTGTCGCCGTTTACGTGATGGTGAACCTGAAGTTGAATGTGAGGCATTCTCGTCACTGTCGGAAATCACTAAGTCGAGATCAGCACCCGGAAGCATACTGCGGCCCCGTCTATCCTCATCCCGGTCGTCGGACGAGGAGCGCGAAGAATGTCGCTTGTTTGTGGCTTTGACATGCTTGGCTCGTGAACCGCGAGGAAGTTCCGCCGAGCGGCTACGGGTGCGACTCCTTGGGGCCCGATGATACCGGTCTGACTGAGTGGGAAATGTTCGCTTCCGGTTGTGCAATCTGGATGACTCCTGTGATGTCCGTGGCACCTGTTGTTGTTGCTGCTGTTGTTGTTGTTTGTATTTCTTCCACTCTTTTGCAACCGATTGACTAAAATCGACGTGAATGCGCCTGTCGTCGATCACAACCTTGTCCATCTTGAAAAAAGCACTTTCACAATCGGAGTCGTTTTCAAATTCAATAAATGCATATTGCAAAGAGGCACCGGTACGCCGATCGCGAATCACTTCGCACGACTTTATGGGTCCAAAGCGACTGAAGATAATTTCTAGGTCTTCCGCAGTTGTCACAGGATTCAATCGGCAGACGAACAACACGTTATCTGGTGGTTTCACGTCAGCGTCAGGAAGATCGCCGATGAGAGTAAGCAGCTGGGCGTGCGTTTTCGCCTCCTGCTCAGCCTTCAATTCTACCAACTGTGTTGGCGAAGAACATACAGTTTCTTCCAACGCCTCATCTTCTTCTATGCGTGGTGGACCGATGTCAATAAATTGCTGTAATAAGTGACAAATGTAAGTGCAACATAGGACAATGAGACAAAGAAACAGAGAAACCTAGATAGACATTACATCCCATCATACAACCGAATGGATCAATAAAATTGCAAGTTTCCTGTACTCCAAGAAAAAGGTGGTCCAAGCGCAATCCAAACAACACCTGGGTTAACATGTGACGGGTTGACTATACTACGATACGACTTTAAAACAGCAACCAAGCAGACGGAAAAGGAAAGTGGGAAGGAAACGATAGACGTGAACACTCCGAAGTAGAAAAAAGCCGGTAGATTCGGATAAAAACACCTACTGACAACATGAAAGAAAACCTGAACAATTTTGAGATAACAACATAATGATATCCAGTGTTAAGTTCACATGATAATGTCAACTACAGGTAAGCACAGCTTCTTAAATAAATCCGGTAAGCAATAAACAGTGGCAAGATAAGCCAACAAAATTTCGTCAGATGTCTTTCATTGCTCTGCAAGTCTGTTGTAAAAAACCAGAGGGACAGACCAGACTGGAGAAAGACAATAAACTAAGAAAACAATCATTTTCGTTCCCTGCAAATCAAATTTTGCACGGTATCATCACTTATATGTCACGATTCCCGGAGAGAAAAGATTATGCATCGGAAACACAGTAAGGACGAAATTTGTAGCTAAGCAACAGATGTTGGATATCCGAAAGGTCTGTGTGCCTTCGAAAATTTTGGAAACAAGTACAATGGGACAGACATGAGAGAGCCAGTGTAATGGTAAGGAAACTCAGTAAACTCCAAACAAAAACTGGAGATGGCAGAGGCGGTTAGCATATATAAAATATATCATAGCAAACGCCAACAGCAAAGCATCATCACTTTGAACTGATGCTTCGCTGCTATGCAACCACTATGAATAAAGGTATGAGAAATACTGAAAGGGAACTTAGTGCAAAATGTGAATCTCCAAAGAAATTAATCAAGGATAAGGGATCGACATATCGTCAATACACGATCACAAAAAAGCTGGCTGTCGTGCGAAGTTCGAATGAGTGAGACAGTTTCACTGCAGCATTCATTGTTTATTCCGTGATTGCGTTGTCAGGATAATATCTAGTGCATTTACGGGCATCCTGGAGTTGGTTCGTGGAAATCTCGGCATCATACAATTTCATCTCTGAATCTGCAATTTTTAAATCACATTTGGTGTGGTACCTTTCCACAGAATTCGTACAAAATGCCGAATAAATCACCTCAGGGTTCCTGTTCAAAGTTGTTCGAAAAAAAGCAAATGCTCTTACGTGCTTTGATTGTTGTGGTAAATGTCATAGTTCGTGTGTTGGATTACTACCGATTACTATCGTCTTCTGCGTTCCTTGCAACATAATTTCATCCAAATTCTGTGCAACGATTGCTACAATCTAAAGCACCTAAGGTCTATCGATGCAGACGTTTAAGTGGAAGCAGTTTTAGATATATTGTCCCACAAACGGGCCTAGAGTCCACGTAAGGTTTAACCCAGCTTACCTTATAGTCAATTCCCTCTGACAACTCAATACTTCTCCACCCTATTTCTTCCGGAGAACCGACTTCAACTGACTACTGCATGCTGCAAATAGAGAGCGAGAAGATAAAAAAAACTGTGTTGCTCTATCGTAGGTGGATCGGACGCATGCATGGAATTACGTCGTTGATTACTGGGCGGTGGCAGCACTACAGTTTATCTGGATGCGATACGCTCCCTATACCTGTAGTCTGCAAACTGGGAGTCAAGGAACCACTTAAATTCCGACTCCGATTTCGCCTTCGACTAGCGTCTTCGGCAATTTGTACCAATATTTCACTCCTCGACGCTCGAAGCATAGAGGGCGAGCAATGCGCCTTAAATCAGGTACCACTAGTTTGTACCGGTGTCCGCGTGTGCTGCTTGATGCGCGAACGTGCAGCAGCGGCTTCAACATAGGGAAGTGACCCAGGTGCAGTAGCTGGTACATCATAATGACATCAACTCGAAGCCGACGATATGACAGGGTATAAAACCCTAGTCTCCTACATCGGTCCTCGTATCACATACCCGTAAACTGGGGATGAGCCTGGTAGCTGCATGCTGGACCCGTTCCAGCCTCTGCACATCACCTATGGTGATCAGGCAATAGGCGGGTGAGCCGTACTCAAGCACCGGTCTTATTTTGGAAGAGAACAGACGGGTGGCAATCTCTTCAGATCAAGTGAAGAAAGTGCGTCGAAGTGCCCAAAGCAAGCGTAGTCCGTTTGCGTACAATTTGTTTGTGTTGTTGATAGACTTCAGATCACAGGGTGAGAGTACGCCTAGATCCTTTACGGAACTGGTGGGATGCAGCGCGTTGCCGGCCATGGTGTAGGCACGCCCATTACAACCCCTCCCCAGGCTCATAAACGAGGACTTGGCACGCTTGGCTAAACCGTGACTTTGCAGTGCTCGAAACTCACCATGCTCGAGCAACAAAATATGTCAAGGGATTGTACAACCTTTCGCACCATCAGCGACTAAAACACTCGAATTGTTCAGTAGACCCTACGGCTGGCTACGTGGATACCACATATTAGTCTACTAGATACGAAACGACCCCACGTACACATTTTGCCATCTACTGCACCTCATCCCGAACACCAACTTCACAGGCAATAGCTTGAAACTGAGTCAACAACACAGTCGGCTTTTCATTAAGACTGGACGAACCTCAGCTCAGTGATTCCGCCGTAAGTAGCCAACGAACGTTTTGGTACCTACGCTGTTTATGTGCTCAACGACAGCCTGGACGTTAGGAATTCTATCAGACCGGATGCATCAGTAGCACCATTTGCCAGCGGGCCAGTTTAGTCGTTAACACATTTGTGAAAGAGGATAGGTATAGTAACAGAAATGTATTGGAACGATCATCTATGCTAGTGAAGGATATGTTCAAAATGTCCGCCGGCGATCTGCTTGCAGTGCAGAAACCGCTTGATGCAACTGGCGAGCACTTTCTCAAATGTATCCCTCGTGATCGCGTGACATTCGTTCACAATATCTTCTTTCAATTGGTCCAATGTACGCGGCCTTGTTTTGTACACTCGCCGCTTCAGATAGCCCCATAGAAAAAAGTCCATGAGGTTCAAATCTGGTGAGCGAGAAGGCCACTCGATTGGTCCACCGCGTCCGATCCAATGGTGGCCAAATTTGTCGGTGAGGTAAGCACGTACCGTTTCAGCAGAATGTGCAGGTGCACCATCCTGCTGGTACTGCATGCTCCTTCGGCCTCCAGCTGGGGAAGCACAAATGTCTGCAGCATTCCAAAGTACGACGATGCTAGGAAAGGATAAGGCTTTAGTACATCAAAACAACAACCTATCGGTCACATTCTCGGAAAAGGAACATGGGCCCAAGATTTTCTGGCTCGTTAATCCAGCCCAAACCATCAGTTTCACACTGTGGTGCATACGTGATGCGGTAAATTTTCGTGGGTTGCTGGTAGCCCAAGAGTAATGTTTCATTGTTCCATGCATAGGAAACAATGCCTCATCTGTAAAGATAACAGAATGAATATCCCCGTGATCCAGATATTAGCGGCAAAATTCATGCCGCTTTTCCGGATCGCAGGGGTTCAAAACCTGCAGTGCACGGAATCTTCCAAACGTTCGTTCCTGTAATATCCGGTGTATCGCATATCGGGTCGTGTCACAGTGCTGTGCGATCCGACGAATGCTGAGATCGGGACGTTTTGACACCTCACTGACTACAGCGCAAACTGAACAGTCGTCCGTGGTGATGCGAGGCTGTCCGGTTCTCTTCATGTCACACACACTCCCAGTTTGCTCGAACTTCTTCATTAGTTTGAACACATACCGGGCGTTGATGGGACGCAATCCTGCGTTCATTGCATTGTATTTTCTTGAAGTTGATGCGGCGTTTAAACCGCATTCACCGTACAGCGGAATAATCAGCGCGCGCTGAGTATCAGGAACGTTACGTGATCCCGACTGCATTGTCTGCTCGTGCTCCATTACCTGTGATTCAATAACACTGACAAGAGTTGCAATGCCTGACCTCGGCCTCAGCTGAGCTGCCATCATGTGCGCACACTCACATCGCAGTTTTGGTTGCGTAGGCCGACTTCCCTGCGTAGCCAGTGAGACACACACAGGTAACCACCGATCGCTCCAACGCCTACGGTTGGCCATGACCTACAGCACTCAGCGTGAAGTTAGCTGACAGATAACGAACACTGGAAACACGTTGTGGCTGTCTGTGGTCATCTCGCTTGATGATCAAGACAGCCTCATGTTGGTGCGTCTTTAGCAGGTTACGCCTACACTTAGCTGAGCCGTACACTATATCACTCGTATGCCGAGAATCCCATACGTCCTCACCACTAAGGTGAGAGAGAATTTCACGCGCAGTAGGATGTTGCGAATTTCGCAAAACATTGTATGGCTATTGGATGTTGGGGACAACAACTGTAACTGACCGGCGTTCGCCATAAGTGAGCCACGGTTGGTAAATGAACATGCTCATCGGCCTTCTTTCGTCAGACTAACTGTAGAAAAGACGTTCATCGCGCTCAGCCTGAAACGCTCGGCACATCATCAGAACTCCCCCTCGGTCACGTACTTAGGTTATAAAGCATCGGTTCGAGTGATGATGCTACCGAGAAGCTAGTCGTGGACAGCTGGCGTGGATGGCATGCGCCCGCTTTCGGCACTTGAGAATGAGCGCCTTAGAAAGATTGTGTTGGTGGCCACAACGTAGCTGCAACGATGAAGTCAGACGTCGACTTAGGGAGTGGTACTATTTCCTCCAACAAGTTGGTTTTGCTGAGCAAGTTAAGATGGCTCGGTCGAACCCTGCGTATGTCTTCTCAGGGTTTGCCCCATCGTGCCCCGTTGGCTAGTGTAGGACTAAGGTGGAAGAGATCAAGCAGTAGACAGTCATACACATGGTGACAGCATTTGAACTCGCTAGCATGACGTCCACCGCAGTTTTATTCACAGTCCTACCTGGCTGTAGACCAAAGGACTAGGAGTGCCGATAGTTTAAAACACATCACGATAGTGCGCGCAATAAAATCCAGTGCAGAATCTGTGTATATAATTGTCACGATGCAAGGGTTCAATGTTCAACAGTAAAAAAGAAATAAATGGAAAAAGTGGACAAACTGATTAGTTTTTAATCTAACAATGATACTCAGATTGTGTGCTTCGTCAAAGCAACTCAACGTCAGGATACCACTAGTAGCTCGTATTGTAATTCCTTCGACGCTGGATGACAATAGTTGACATTTTTAGCATTAAAATGCAAGTCCAACAAGGAAGACCACCCCGCCAGATTGCGAAGATCTTTCGATAGCGCGTTACGATTACCCCTGTTTACGAGTTTTACAAGATCCACAAAAATTTAGTTTTCAAGGAGAGCAGCCAAGTAAATAAACAAACAAATGGTTTATTCTCGACAGAGCGAAGCACACTAATACAAGATCAAATAAAAGTAAACAGAGCAACTGCCTTGTAATGGTATAGGTAACTGACTGAAAATATTTGATCGAAAAATTTCTCGCAGTTTGCGAATAAATATTCCAGATACATGGTTGGCGGCATTCGGGTTCAGAGTTGCCCGACACTGCGGCCTCCATAGGACAGACACAGGACGCCTGCGCCCACAGAATGACTATGAGTGAGTTGCGCTGTACCACCCACAGTTCCATCCACACACCTCATATCCAGTGTAAACCCGAAGAAATAAGACCAGGAGATATGTGGATGGGAGCCAGGTTTCATCAACGGAGCCGGCACACACTCACAACATGTACAACTAAATTGGGAGTTGTGCGTACCGTTCGTATACAAAGCGGTGGCTAGGCCGTAATCCGCTCCATACTGGATGCATGGAACCACTCTTTGAGCCCAGCACGGCCATGAAAAACATGCACCGCGACCCCTAGTAACCATTTAGTCTCCTGGAGCCAGGATAATCGAGGTGGAGGGTGTCAGATATGTAGGCACCTTGTCAACATTCACATTAAGCGTAACCACACCGGGGATATCAACTAAACAACCAAGTGAGCATTAGAAGGAAAATAATATGCAACAATGGAACGGAATATGTGGCAGAATAACAGAACAAAATAAAATAATGGGGAATAGTTCTTATCCGGGTAAAGAAGATCAAGTCGAAAGGTAAGTCGGTGTAGCCCAACTGCTCTGAGGTAGCATGATGTATGCAAGATTAACCAAAACTCTTATACAGGCACAGTTAGAAAAAGACTCACAGGCACTCACCGAGAGTGGGACACGGGTGGGAGAATCCGGAAAGTCAAGGTCCGCTGGACTTGGGAAAGGATCATCAAGGATGATCGTGTGGCGTATTCTAACATTTCGGAAAGGCCGGTTCTCTTCATCACAGTATACCTCGTTGATATTATCAAGAAAATCAAAGCCCTCTGCAATCTGACCAATAAACGAACGTGGGTTCTTTACCTGACCAAAAACAGTATGTTTGTCATCAAGGTACTCAAGACCGTCAGCCAAGGTTATGAAAAACTGAGAACCATGTTGGCCGTAACCATTATCAACCATTGAAACGAGACCTCGCTTAGAGTGCGAGATCTTTGGCTTCTTTTCAGATTCAAAGAATTTCGCCTGAGATCCGTAAAGATACTCAAAGATGGAAGAACCACCACGGCCAGTACCGCTGGGGTCCCCTGTCTGAGCAACGAGATTCTTTTGAACGGAATGAAAAACGCAGAAATTGTATGCTTTCATGCAGCACAACTTTATAAAGTTAAATGAACACTTTGGGCGCTCTTTGGTATACAAATCCAGCACGAAAACACCAAGCGATGTTTCCACTAGCACTGACATTGTGAAACGATGATCACTGCAATAGGTGTCAGGTCAAAAATTCCAAGTGACTTCCGTGTTCAATGCGTACATATGTCGTGGGGGGGGGGGGCTGCAATGCAAAACAAATACGGTGCAGGAAGTTGGTTGAAGTGATAAGAATCGGCTAGTAAGAGATCACAAACTGGATGTGATGTGAACCAGATTAACACCCCGTGGCGAGCTGGATGCCGTTGTCACAGCGGCCGACGGGGTAGAGCATAAGCTGAAAGGATAGCGTGAAAAATCATGGGTGATGGCCGTGGAAGGCAGATAAAGTGAAAGAGAAGAGGAAAAAACTATGGCTGTCTAATCAATGTTCAAAAGGCATCAGTAGCACGCTGGTATGTAATGCCGACGCTTCGCTCATGCGCGATCACCATCGGTCGCATATGGGCCAAGGATACTGCGAGAGTCACCCGGTACCAAGGCAAGCTCGAACCCACGCTCTCGGATTAAAACGCAGGTTTGCGATGCTTAAGGCTACGGACCGTATAAAGGTTCAACGATCTTACCCTATAGATGGCCTCAAAATCACGCTCGGACCTGTTACAATCAGCTTTTCAAAACATCAAATATGCAGGTCGTGAAAAGAAGGAATACGGGGCAGGAGGGACAGTGGATAAGAATCACAGTTAGCGCTAAGGTTAGAGGATACTTCCCAATATCCGAACAAGTGAAGGTGAAGTTGATTGCATGCTACATCTAAAACAGTAAACAATAGAAAGTAGATAGGATAACCCTTGTCAGCTCCATCACTTCCCGATCAGTGTGAGGAAGATGCGCGTTATAGCGTAAAAGGTATTTCACAGTGGGTGATTACAGTTTCAGAGATAACATCCTAACACATTAATCGAGTGTAAATCCTGTAGCTTCTAGAAACAGCACCCGGCAGAAGCTCCGAAAATAGTATCCGGTACCTAGTTCCAGTCGACCAGTACTCGGTTGATCACTGAGCAAATTTGGTGCCATTGCTGTTTAAACTTCCCAACTGTGCTCGCGTACCAAACTAACTCTGCTGAACTGGAAAAATTGTTGGAGATGACTGATAAATTCCCCTCTGAGAATGCATTTTTTGTAGATAAAGATCTCCACGATGAAGATGGAAGTCTAGAGAACAAATGCATATGTTGCAGAGTAGAGTGAAATAAGACAAAGCACGAAGCATTGGGAATGATTTTGAATCTCACCTCTGAATTGTTTCAATCCGACCGTGTTTGAAATTAGTGGGTAGGTAGCTTGTTAGCAAACCACACTCCAGGATTGGGCGCACATGTGAGACGAACAGAATTGTAAGGATACCATGAATCATTCGAGTAAAGGACCCTGTTGGCTGTTCGAAAATCTGAGGACACCATGAAGTCCAGATCAGTCGTTTCAGAGGCATTTGTGAGGAAAGAAACACTGATGTCGCAAGTGTCGAGTGGTTCGGGAGCACAAAGTGAGAGAAAAAAGCACTTTTCGAGGATTATAGGTAACCCCAAGTAGGCAGATCGGTCATGCAGCATGTTAAAGGCCACCTGTAATCTAACAGCAAAACCGAGACTGCTGACGTATAACCACAGCTTCAGACCGTCGGCACTGGTTAAGCAATCAGCTTGAAGCTATTGAAAGATCATTGATGGAGACCTTAAGATGGCTTCGGGCATAGGAGAGAACTTGGTAGCACCCCACTGATCATCGGGGAGTGTGAAGAGAGGGTTTCACTCACCTTCACACGCACTGTATGCTTTCCTAAGAAATCACTACGGAACATTATCGGTCTGAAAAGAAGCCGTTTACAGGGGCTATAACAAATGCTTTTCCTGAGTCAACAAAAATAACATCCAGACGCTTTCTAGCACCTAACTACTTCCCACACTTTTACCTAGCAATGAGTTGGGTTGAATGCAGGAGCAGAACCTCCTGAAACCATGCAGAGCAGGCGAGATAGGTTTAGTTCTGCCAAATGCTATTAAAGAGAGCATTTAAGAATTAATGACCGAACAGACAACTGATGTTAAACAGGCTGCTCGATAGCTAACGGGATCTTTCCGATCCCCGTATGTGTATATGGGCCTCACGACGCTCATTTTCCAATCAGGAGGTAAGCGGCAAGTTGTAAGAAACAGGAGAAATATCTGACAAGAAACAGTAGCGTATTCAGCCACGGCATTGAGGAAAATGGGATGCAAACTATTGGGCCGCGGTGACGAATTAACATCCAGTTCAACAAGCTTCGAGACAGTATCACTACCTAAAACTATGGACACAAAAGAAAAGGAGGGTCTTGATAAATGCACAGGGAAAAGTTACGGCAATGGAGTAAATTTCTTCATCCAACTGTGACCGCGTGCCGAGCTATCACTGTTGTACTGGAAGGATTGTTAGAGCTGACGGCTAAATTCCTCTCCGAAATCGCGCCTTTTCTGGGTAACATCACGATGAAGAGAATAAATATGGATTAGAGTGAAAAATAATCCGAGGCATTTCAACTACCAGGTCGGTCAAGGATGAGAGGTCAGACACAGTCTCCTGGTCCTCCAGGTTGAGGGTTTGAGATGGGATAGCCTCCATTTCTGTAAAACTAAACCATGGCTGCCTCCCCGCCGTCTTGCGCACAGACTTTTGAGCCAAAGGCTTTGGATGAGGACCCTAATCTTTCTGCTGTGTAGGTCATGGCGCTCTGTCAGTATCTCAGCCCACATACAACCATAACTTTTTCTTCAAACATTCACTTCATGCTGCATCGGTCGTCGCGCAGATTATCACGGATCGCCTTATCTACCGCATACAGTAGGGCGGAAAAGCGACAACATGCTATTGCTGGCGCCTCCTTTCTTTCTTTTCCATCTGTTTCTCTTACTCCCATCCCGAGCCCCATTACTAATCTACCATCTATAATTCTCTACTGAGTTGACAACAACCGAAGTGCCACTGGAGTAGAACCACCTGCAGCCACCTACCAATAATACTCATCGGACGCTTATCGGCAACAGTCCCTTATAAGGCCACGCTGTCCCGTTTCCACGGCGATGTTCAATGTTCGCACTCTAAGACAACTAGAACAACAGACTAGACGCACACGCACCTTGGACAAACTGGGTATTGATGTGTGTTGTGTTTCCGAAACTAGGATCAATGACCCTAATGGGGTTGTTGAATTAACTGCACCCGGCATCTCCACTCGCTTCGGGTTGCATGCACCCGGAGAGGCCGATGCAACACTCACAGTTAAACATGGTGTATATATCATTCTAAGCTCCTAAGCTGAGCCATCATGTGGCAAAGCAAATTGTAAAACCGGACATTGGGTCTCTACACAGTCTATGGAACTTTTGGATGCTCGCCGACGTATTCCGGATGGAAGCGAATACAATCTCAGGGCAAAACTACGTGCTAGAATTAGGAAGGACCGCGAAACCTGGTGGTCTCATCGTGCCTCTGAGATGGAAACAGCGGCTGCCGTGGGTAATCATCGTAAGTTATTCCGTCTGATCCGGGAAACAGGCAGCAGGAGACCTGGTGTTAGCGAGACCAACCGCGACGAGAGTGCGCAGCTGATCCGATGCCTGTCAAAACGCTTGGAGCGTTGGGCTGAACACTTTGCAAGGCAATTTAACAAACCTGAGTTATCGCTTTCTTCTTCGGGCATTGAGCGGCCTTCTCCTTGGGCCGTCTCCTCGGATCCGCCCTCACACGCAGAGGTCGAACGTGAGATCAGGCTGTTGAAATTGCATAAGGCCGCAGGGGCAGATAGAATTCCCCCAGCCCTCTTCAAATTCGGGAGACTTGCTGTAGTAGATGATCTACACGAGTTGCTAGTAAAACTTTGGGAGCAGGAGACAGTCCCGACAGACTGGAACCGTTCCGTCATTGTCCCAATTTTCATGGGAAACTCCCGTATGGAATGCGGCAATCATAGAGGGGTCAGTCTGATTTCGATTGCCTCTAAATTGCTTGCCTCTGTCATTCTCCACTGGCTGACTGGCACTTGTGAAAGCCAGATTCGTGAAGAGCTAGCCGGATTTCGTCGAGGTCGGGGCTGCATCGACCACATCTTCACATTGCGTCAAGTGTTGGAGCACCGCCATGTTTATTGGCGACCCACCGTTGTCGTGTTTCTTGACATAAAAGGTGCCTTCGATTCGGTCGATCGATGTGCCCTTTGGGACTGTCTGCTGAGGAAAGGTGTGCCTGATAAATATGTAAACATTATCAAAGCGCTGTACGCGCATAGTTCGGGCAGGGTGAGGGTTTATGGCAAACTCTCGCCACCCTTCAGTATCACCAGCAGTGTGAGACAAGGATGCCCGCTGTCACCTTTCCTCTTCAACTTCGCTATTGATAAAGTCATGGAAACAGCGTTCGCTGGACACGACCTAGAAGGTGTGGAGCTACTTCCTGGTGAGCGATTTCTTGACTTGAAGTATGCGGACGATATTGCCCTAATCTGTGACATGCCAAAGAGCAGTGGACCGATTAGCACTGGCTGTCAATGGTTTTGGGCTATGCTTTGCTCCATCGAAATGCAAAGTACTTCTCCAAGATTGGCAGGGGCCCAACCCTGCGCTAACGCTTGGTGGTGATTTGCTAGAAGTCGTTCAGGAATTCAAGTACCTGGGCAGCTATATTAGCACCCGTGGGATTGAAAATGAGGTTACGAACCGCATAGCAAAAGCTCGAGGTGCTTTTGCCAATCTCCGCCACCTGTGGCGCAGACGCCACCTTACTCTCGCCCTGAAGGGCAGAGTTTACAACGCAGCCGTCCGTTCAACTCTCCTATATGGTTGTGAAACCTGGCCCATCAGGTCGACAGACATGAAGAGGCTCGTCACATTCGATCATCGTTGCCTTCGCAGCTTAGCTCATGTCTGGTGGGAACACCGCGTGAGCAATGAGCGTGTTCGACGTCGCGTATTTGGTGCAAAAAGAGCGAGTGAACCGCTCAGCACCATTATATCACGCACCAGGCTCCGATGGCTGGGCCACGTGTTGCGCATGCCAGCACACCGACTCCCGCGACGTGCATTGCGCGTCGTGGGTGCGGTTGGAAGAGGAGGAGGGGAGGCCAAGTGATGA